ACGGGTCCGAATTACGTTCCGTCGGATCTCACAAGTTCTATTTGTCATGGAGAAGCTATCCGTGTGAGCCACACGGTCATTTGGGGGCTGTTTCGATTTTTCGATCTCAAAACGCCATTTTTCGATTAAGGCCCCGTTTGGGGACTTATTTTTTTAGCCAATTAGCCAAAAAGTTATTAAAATAGCCAAAAAGCCAACAACTCATACCAAAAAGTCAAAGATTCTCTTTTCTCTCTACTTTTTGCACATCTTTTCGTAATTAGCTAAAAAGTCATCCCAAACATACAAGTTTTTTTTATTTACCTTTTTAGCTAAATAGCCAAGAAGTTACTAAATTAGCTTGTTCCCAAACGAGGCCTAAGTTTAGGGCGTATTTGGCTCAACTCCCAACCTACGGGTTCGGATTACATTCGGTCAGTTGTCACAAGTCCTATTTTTCATGAGAGAACTGTCCGTATGAACCACATGGTGGTTCGGGGGCTGTTTTGAATTTTTAACCCCAAAACGCCATTTTTTGACTAAGTTTAGGACGTATTCGGCTCTAACTCCTAACCTACGGGTCCGAATTACGTTCTATCAGTTCTCACAAGTCCTACTTGTCATGGGGGAACTATCCGTGTGAGCCACACGGTCGTTCGAGGTATGTTTTGAATTTTTAACCCCGAAATGCCCTTTTTCGACTAAGTTTTGGATATATTCGGCTCTAACTCCCAACCTATGGATCCGAATTACGTTTCGTTAGTTCTCACAAGTCCTATTTGTCATGGAAAAGCTATCCGTGTGAGCTACATAGTGGTTTGGGGGTTGTTTTAAATTTTCGCCTCCGAAACGCCCTTTTTCGACTATGTTTTGGACGTATTCGGCTCTAACTTTTTACCTACGGGTCTGAATTACGTTCTGTTAGTTCTCATAAGTCTTATTTCTCATGGAGAAGCTATCCGTTTGAGCCACACAGTTGTTCGGGGTTGTTTTGAATTTTCGCCCTCGAAATGCTCTTTTTCGACTAAGTTTAGGGCGTATTCAGCTCTAACTCCCAACCTACGGGTCCGGATTACATTCTGTCAGTTGTCACAAGTCCTATTTATCACGGGGGAACTGTCTGTGTGACCCACACGGTGGTTCGGGGGCTATTTTGAAGTTTTGCCCCTGAAACGTTCTTTTTCGACTAAGTTTTAGACGTATTCGACTCTAACTCTCTACCTACGGATCTGAATTACGTTCCGTTAGTTCTCACAAGTCCTATTTGTCATGAAGAAGTTATCTGCGTGAGCCAAACGGTGGTTCGGGGGCTGTTTTGAACTTTTGCCCTCGAAACGCCCTTTTTCGACTAAGTTTTGGACGTATTCGGCCTTAACTCTCTATCTATGGGTCCAAATTACGTTCCGTCAGTTCTCACAAGTCCTATTTCTCATGGCGAAGCTATCCGTGTGAGTCATACGGTCGTTCAGGGGCTGTTTTGAATTTTCACTCCCGAAACGTCATTTTTCGACTAAGTTTAGGGCGTATTCGGCTTTTACTTCCAATCTACGAGTCTGGATTACATTTCGTCAGTTGTCACAAGTCCTATTTGTCATGGGGGAACTGTCCGTATGACCCACATGGTTGTTCGAGAGCTGTTTTGAATTTTCGCCCAAGAAACGCCCTTTTTCGACTAAGTTTAGGACGTACTCAGCTCTAACTCTCTACCTATGGGTCCAAATTACGTTCTGTCAATTCTCACAAGTTTTATTTGTCATGGAGAAGCTATCTGTGTGAGCCACACGATGGTTCGGGGCTGTTTTGAATTTTTGCCCCCGAAACGCCCTTTTTCGACTAAGTTTTGAACGTATTCGGCTCTAATTCTCTACCTACGAGTCCGAATTACATTCCTTTAGTTCTTAGAAGTTCTATTTTTCATGGGGAAACTATCCATGTGAGCCACACGGTGGTTCAGAGGCTATTTTGAATTTTTGCCCTCGAAACACCATTTTTCGACTAAGTTTAGGGCGTATTCAGCTCTAACTCCCAACCTACGGGTCCGGATTACGTTCGGTCAGTTGTCACAAGTCCTATTTGTCATGGAGGAACTGTTCGTGTGAGCCACACAGTGGTTCGGGGGGCTGTTTTGAATTTTCGCCCCCGAAACATCCTTTTTCAACTAAGTTTAAGGCGTATTCAGCTCTAACTCCTAACGTACGGGTCCAGATTACATTCCGTCAGTTCTCACAAGTCCTATTTGTTATGAGAGAACTGTCTGTGTGAGCTACACGGTGGTTCAGGGGCTGTTTTGAATTTTCGCCCCCAAAATGCTTTTTTTCGACTAAGTTTTGGACGTATTCGACTATAACTCCTAACCTACGGGTTCGAATTATGTTCCGTTAGTTCTCACAAGTCCTATTTGTCATGGCGAAGCTATCTGTGTAAGCCACACGGTGGTTCAGGGACTGTTTTGAATTTTTGCCTCCAAAACGCCATTTTTCGACTAAGTTTTGGACATATTCGGCTCTAACTCTCTATTTACCGGTCCGAATTACGTTCCATCAGTTCTCACAAGTCCTATTTGTCATGGCGAAGCTATCCGTGTGAACCATATGGTCGTTCGAGGGCTGTGTTGAATTTTTGCCCCTGAAACACCGTTTTTCGACTAAGTTTAGGACATATTCGGCTCTAACTCCCAACCTATGAGTCCGGATTACATTCCGTCAGTTGTCACATGTCCTATTTGTCATGGGGGAACTGTTCGTGAGACCTACACGGTGGTTCGGGGGTTGTTTTGAATTTTCGCCCCCGAAATGTCATTTTTCGACTAAGTGAAAAAAGTTAGCTTTTTTACTTTCATAAAAAAGCCAAAAAAAAATTCCCAAAAAAATCAAAAAGGTAACTTTTTACCAACTTCACAAAACACCACACACTATATTCTCATTAATTATGTGCCCTAACAATTATGGAAAATGCTACGTATAATTTCTTTTTTTACTTTTACGTTATTACTAAAAACAAACTAGTGAGTTTGGTGTACATTTAGTAATGTGGGTTTCATTGCTTTATATCTAAAAATGAGAAAAAAAAAATGATATACAATTTCATTTTTTAGACCTACTTTATAGATCTAATGATGTGTCAAGAAGATGATTTATTAATAATAAAATAATATTTAATTATTAATAAATTATCTTTTTAACATATTACTGAATCTAAAAAGTGACTATAATTTTTAGGCCTGAATAATAATATTATAAAATAAAAAATGAAACTATTTATAACATTCCTCAACAACTATACACGTGTTTAGATTTTTATCAATTTGAGAGAAAAGTTGTGAGGTGATTTTTTTTTTAATAGTGTTCTGGCTCGTGTAGCAAGTTTTCTCAAGTGGGCTTTTATCTTGAAAACTTTAGTGTGGCATATTCTAACTCAATTCGGCTTAGCCCCACACTCTAATGTGGCTTAGCCCCACACTTTGATCTCCCCAAGACAGTAGACTTTTTTTTGAATTCTAACTCAAAACCTTATTTTGCATTGAGGCCTTTTGCAATAGAGGCTTAAAATTGTATGAAGAATGAAAATGCCAAAACTCTCTATAATATATAATAAAAAATCTTAAATTCCAAACTCTAAATCCTAAACCATATTGAAGAGCCAAACACTTCATATAATCTGTGTCATTTTGAGTTAAGTAATAATCAAGAATTTTTATACTTAAATCTCTCTTTCAGGTCCTCTCAATGTACTTTTAAGTCACACGTTCATACCTTGAAATTCACACCACAACATGCATTTTGAAAAATTCTTTAGGACAAAAATAAAACAATAGCATTTCTAACATGTCACAAACACAACAAAGTGTTTCTTGATTACAAATAATGAGAAGAAAAAAAAAAAACCATACACACACACAAACAATCATAGACGAGAACAAAAAAGAAAGAAAAAAAAAGAAAAATTGCACACAACCATAAGTATGCTAGGAATTTTGCGTCCGGAATTTTCAATACCCTATTCTGAGACCATGGTTATCAAAATCTCGATTCGGATCTTACGATCCAATTGAATACAATCGATCCGGATCGTGTAAAAGATTCCTTATAAGTAGAATCTTTCGATCCTAGTAATAAGATCTTATAGGATCGTGGAATTCTGATCCGAATCCGATCATATCCGATCCAATTTACAATCTTTGTTTTGTATTGTATAACATATTTTATTGTAAATTTTATGTTTGTTATCTAAATATCAATTTATATGGTTAAAATAAATAATAAAAATTAAATAGTATTGAATCAAATAGATTAAGAAAAACAAACTAGAAAACAAACATTTAAATATGGCGGTAATTTAAGAAAATTAATTAGTCGAAAAAATAAACTTAATTTTAGTGGTGTCTAAGGAGGGTAAGATGATTGCAACTTTATCCTAATTTTTGGATAGATTATTTTTGTGACTCGAATTCGCTCCACCAGGGATGCTAACGATAACTTTATCATTTGGTTAAATTGCTCTTTTCAGTTCTTAATCTATTTTCATATCCAACTTTATTAAATATTTTTTCTTCACTTTAAATGCATTATTGTAGATTGTAAAGTATTTTGTTATAAAATTCTTCTTCTTCACTTTCCTTTTTTGATGAAATACAAAACTTTTATGATCGAGTTTTCTATTGTATAATATTATATGTATATTTTACATGGAATATTATATTTTTTATAATATCTTCACTTCTTTTTAATAGAATATAGGCTCATTTTGTGTATATTTTTTAAGAAATATTTATTTAAATTAAATTATTATATAATTTATTTTTTTCGGTAGGATCTTATGACCCTCGATCTAATTCTACGATCCGATCCTATAAACACCTCCAACAATCCAACGTAAGATCCCGATTTTAACAACCTTGTTTGAGACCCCTAGCTCTCCATCATATGAGATTAAACTAGAGAGATCCATTATGATAGGAAGGTGCCTCAGAACAAACTGGAGATCGTAGATCCAACTTCTTTTATTTAGCCGATACGATGGTATTAACATACTTGTGTTCTTGCTGTTAGCTTCTTGCGTAAATCTAGAACAAAATTATAGACCTTGTGTTGGTGAGGAAGAGACTTGGAAACACTCTCATTTTTGTCAATGCACCTCTTGGCCCATGCAATGAGCTTGGGGCACTCTGATTCTATACTGAAGTTGCGAAAGGTCTCATAGGAGTAAAACCAGCTGTAAAAGGTGACAAAAGCAATGTCTAAAAAGCCAAAGGTTTCACCTCCAAAGTATGGCTTGTCACCAAGCTCTATGAATCCCTTCTTGGCTGTCTCTTTCTCTACTTCTACATTTGAAAATAGTATCTTCCTCCCAAAATCATGCACCTGCATTTCATCTGTTAATAATTGTAACATCTTTTTGTAATAGGTTAATTATGTTGGACCCCTCTTTTTAGTGTATTAATCATTCAATTATGTGTAGATTGTGTTTGTTTGGGAATAAATCAAGAAAAGTTGTAAATGTTGTTCTACAAAAGAGATGGATTTTGTCCTTGTTGGCTTTTTGGCTTTCGAAGGTTATTTTTGTAATTGCGAGCATGCCAGCAAGGATCAATCAGTCCTTACAAAATTTTAATTGCCAACCAATTATCAGATGACTGTGCTTTAGTTCTCTCAGCCTCAATGAAGAGGACTTTTACTGGTGGCTTAATTTAAGAGAATTAAGCAAAATATCAATCATGAAGAACAACTGAAGCATTTCATTAGAATGAAAAAACTTACAATGATCCAAACTCAACCTCGTAGAGGTTTACAACGACAATCTACTTGAAACTATTCCTATGAACGAAGTGCAGTGCAGGAATTTAAAGTACAGGAATGTAAAGAACAGGAAATGTAAAACTGGTAAGAAAACTAAGTAAAGTAGAATAAGACTGGTTTTTTGGATCTGAGTCTGGGAGTTTTTTCTGGGGCTTTCTTTGCTATTTATACTGCTCAAGGATGACCATCGAACTGCACTTCCAACCGTCGAACTGCTCCTCCATGATTGCTGATCATGTTGCCTCAAGATTAGCTCCATTATACCATTACTTGCAGTTAGGCTTCCCTCCTAAATTTGAATTTAAATGTGAGTAACCGTTGATGCCACATCACTTTGTATCTCTTTGTTGATCCACTGCTGCTCAGGTCTCGTAATAACCAATACTAACTGCCACGTGTACGATCAGGATCGAAGACTTGAATAGTCTTTCTATATTATCCTTATTTTGCCACGCGTCGAATTGTAATTGGCTTGCACAAAATATGTAGCCAACATTACCCCCCGTACTAATATACCCAGTACTTGGTGATATTAGTGGATCAAGGTCTTTTTCCCACGTCTTAGAATGTGCATGGGTTTTGCATTCTCCCAGAAATGCAACTGTCATTCATTATCTGCATTAAACTCTCCTTCAATCTTTTGAATACCCCCACTACCTTAGTATTCGAACAGACTGATACATTTTTTATGGCCGAATCAATTTTCCCCTCCATTGATCGAGCACGTGAAGAGTCATATGACGGTGCTATTCTTTCTCGAAAGAACCTCCATGCATTAATTAGCCACCTTTACCCACCTTCTATATTCAGGTCATGGATGCCTTTGCAAATTATCAACCCTTGGACTTCGAACATATTGCCCTTAATCCTTCGATTCAAAAACTTACAAATATGGACGTGGGAAGTTCTTCTTCTGACTTGCACTTGGACTACGAACAAACTGCTCTCAATTCTTTGATTCAGAAAGTCGCAAATATGGACATGGGAAGTTCTTCTTCACAATCCTCTGCATGGGATAAGGCTGAAACTTCTTCCTCTTCTGGGGCTCCTGGCTGGACAAGCTGGTCAAAACCTGAGGCCTGTGACTTGAGGAAACGAATCAACCATCACTTTGTCGAGTTTACTGACCCTTTAGAGTTCCCTTCTTATGCGCGAAGCTCAGTGGTCTATCCCTACGTGCCCATTGACCATCGACGCAGTTTGGAGGAGAATCTGCTTGTGGCATGGTATACATCCTCCATGCCTACAAAGATAGTGCACGTCGCCCGACGCTTAGAAGAGGCACAAGGGTACAACCCATCATTCTTAGCCCAGAAGGCGAAGATTTGTTCTTCTAACTGGCTTGATTATATTAATGCCCTTGTTTCTTCTACCCTTGCTTCTCCTCCTAAAATAGAAGCATCCACACCTTCTCCTCTGCCAAATCCTTGCTAGATAGAGAGGCTGAGGCTTGCCCTCTCCGCGGATAAGGTCTTTCCACCTTACAAACCTCCACCTTTCCCTAATCCGGTTGAGCGAAAGCAAGCTCAACTTTTGCTCGCGGCTTTCTCTCACTTGCCCTTCAATGTTCTTGAGGACGAAGTCCCTCTCAAGAACTTTTGATGGGCTTGTGATATTCTGACTCGGGGTCATGTCCTCAATCCCCTCGCCCAAGCAGAGCTTCACAAGTTTTAGGACCAACTTCCATTGCTTCTCCACTGGCTTCGGACCTCTATGGCCACAACACAATCTTTAGACCAACTCTCGTGCCTTCGAGTTCATGCCCAGTACGAAGCAGAGAATTTCATTAAAGAATTCGATGATTTCAAGAATAAAGATTCTGCGTACTGGGATGACTTGGAGATAGACAAATTGGAACAAGCATTGAGAGAAATAGCATTCGAAATAAAGGCTGAAGAGCTTTTTTACGAAGTGAGAGCACATCAACTCATACAGCCAATGTTAGAAGAAATAGAGGATAGAATAAAGAAAGAACAGAAATTCGTTGATCATTGTTGGACTAAATTTCATGATCTTATTATTTATTCCATTCCCTATTTTTATGAGCTTGAGTTTGCACCCAAATAGGGTCATTCGATGTAATTGCTTTTGCTTTAATACTATTAAGACTTTTTCTTTGTTTGGTATGGTTTGATCTTGTCCCCATTTGTTTTTAAAGCAAATTCAGGGCTTCGAACTAAACAATCTTATCCTTCGAATTTGGACTCAATCGTTTTAAATGAAACACTAAAAAGAACCAACAATGAACCTTTCCAATTTATGGAATACAGTTAACAACAAATTTTTTTTTTTTTTGCTGGTTTTCATTTCGAATTAGTGCTTCGAATTTAACAATCTTACCCCTTAAAACTTGTTTTAATCATAACCAACATATGGTCATGGTTAGTATGATCAACCAATTTCGAATTGACCATTTTTGCTTCGAAGAACAGTCTATGCTGTTTTTAGTTCAAAAGACAATCTCTGTCTGTATGTATATAAACCAACTATTGGTTTTGATATTTCGAATACTCCCATCCTTAAAGGGTCTCAAGTTTTACTTCGAAAGACATTACTTTTTATTGAGAAACTTGAAATAGGTCTTCAATGCTTTTGAAGCAAACAAATACTTGAATATTCTTACGTCTTTAGGTATGGCATGTGCTCCAAAACCGGCTTGGTAGTATCGAAGCCGTTGTTATTTGATCTTTGGCGCCAAAACCTGGGTTCAAAGCCAAATATTTTATTTCGAAGCAGGCATCAACATCTGGGCTATGTTTTTTCCTTCAAAAGTAACAATATTGAAAGAAACTCTTCGTATTCGTACTTTTAGTACTTAACGAATTTACGCGACATTCCTACCCTTTGAAGCTTATTTCGATCATAACCAACATATGGTCATGGTCAGTATGATCAATTAGCTTTAAATTGACCATTTTCTCCTTAGAATAACAGTCCATACTTTCAAAAATATGAAAGCTCCTTTTAGGGCTGCACTGTAGAGAATCTTTCCTAAATATATATAAACCAATTATTGGTTTTGATGTTTCGAACAGCAATTCCCATTCTTAAGGGATCCCAAGTTTTGCTTCGAAGGACATTACTTTCATTGAGAAACTTGAAACATGTCTTTAATCTCTTCGAAGTAAACGAATACTTGAGCATTTTTACATCCATAGGTATGAAATGTACTTCGAAGCTGGTTTCTTAATTTCGAAGCCGTTTATTATTTGACTTTTGGCGCCAAAATCTAGTTTCGAAGCCAAACACTATACTTCGAAGCTAACTTCAACGTCTGGGATGTGTTTTTCCCTCCAAAAGTATCAATATTGAAGGAAGCTCTTCGTATCTGTACTTTTAGTACTTAACGAATCACGCGATATACCTTCCAGACACGAAGGTTTTTAAAACCCTTTTTATTTCATGCTCTGAAATCACTCACTCGCTCAAAACACAAACCCTTTTCCTCTGTTAACCCCCTCTTCCTTGTCTCTTCCTTGCTGCTTGCTACCCATGGATTCTTCTTCTCTGAAAGTGCTTGCTGGTGATCGTATAAGCCCAACCATGGCTTTGAAAAGATGTATCGATGAAGAGATCGCCAAGTTAACATCTGATGAGTCAAGCGCCATAGACGGCCGCCTCTTCGTTCCTCGTCACAGCCACAAACAAGAATATGTCTTGGGTCCCATCTTTCGAGAGGCTCCTGCTCAACTTCTAGCTTTATACCCTCGTCTGGAAGACCATTTTCTTCTCTATGAAAGAGGGCTCGGCTGGGAAAATTGGAGGGTAACCCGACCTCATCGCTGCTGGCTGACATTGAGAATTGAATGGGAAGAATGGTATGACAGAGTTGTACCTACGTGAGAAGGCGACCTGCAAGAGCTCTGCATTCTCGATGCCCTCCGTCTTTCCAGGTTTATCATTCCTGAAGACCCTTTCTTGATTCCGCTGCTTTTTGTTTTTGGAACATGGCTTTTAATTTTTTCCAATTTCAGTGTTGTATGATGGCTCCCACCGTCCTTGATATTTGCCATCTTTTAGGGCTTTCACCCCTTGGCTCTCCTTTCACCCCTGGCTATCCAGACCTTCCTGTTAAGTTCTTCCTTCCACCTTTAAACTCCTCTTATAGTGATTTTGTAAAGGCCGAAAATAAAAAGGTAGGTCCCGTGAGAGATTGAGAACTTTTTTCCTTCATTTTGTACTAGTTGTGCAAATTTCTCTTTTGTACATCATCTCAGAGGATTATGCCTGAGTTCGCTCCACTTGCGAAGGCACTTGTTTTGAAAAAACGCATAGCCCTGGCTCCTTATCTCTTAGGCCATGTTTATAGAGCTTGTTCCCAATTTTGTGAGAAACCTCTTGATGTGAACCAAGGAGGTCCCCTTTGGGTGCTCCAACTCTGGCTCTTTGCTTACTTCACTGATTTACATCCCAAATGCTTAAGATTCATTGTTCAAGACCCTAGCACTTATGGGGAAAAATATGCCAGAGTTGCTCTTTATCATGCTTCCTTTTCTTACTACTTCACTTTTTTTAACCAACTTCCTATTTCTCCACCTGCTACCTTTTTCTGCCCTTTTGATGCCAACAAAGACCTACTTGGCTACGAACATTCC